CACCCAAAAATGTATTAGTTCGTGAACAAATTGAAACTACTTGTTTCTTATGTATTTTTATGTGATACTTCAGAAAATGTTTGTCTGACGCGCCGTATCCGGGGCGAAAGTTGTCAAATTGGCGTTTTCGACCCTAAAATGGAAAATTACAGGGGGTACTTTATCATCACTGAATAAATCATTCTGTTAGTCTTCAATCATCATAATAATTTTATGGGGAGTTGATTGGATCATGCTGAGGTAGTATGTAAAATTTCAATGCTCTGTCACTCATGGTTGTCATGGAAACCACAATTTTCGTTCAAAATATCCTTAATTTTGCAAAACCTGAACATGTACATCATGTAGAATATGGATTATTTTTTGAATCCATACATATCAGCACATTTTAGCACACTCAAAATAACCAGTACAGTTCAAACATTTGTTTAAATATTAAGGATATTGCAATTTACATGATTGGTCAGTGTCAAAGAACATACAATTACATGAGTGATCAAAAGTGGGCGTCGCCCCCATAATAGTAGATGACTGCTATACTCTATAAAAACAGAGTTTAACTTGACTTTTGAGATACATTTACACTAGACTTATTTGATTATATTTTATATCAAGCATTTCTAGTAAATAATGTACATCTTAGTGTTATAGTTATTGCATGGGGGGGGTACAGAGGGGGGCTAGTAAAAGAATTGGGAGGAGGCAGAGCTAATCAACCTTAAGTATGAAACTCATCTACATATATCTGGATTTCATGGGGTACATCTTCTGGGTCTTCTTCATATTCATCTCAATATATGGGATATTACAACTTACATGATTGGTCAGTGTCAAAGAACATACAATTACACAAGTAATCAAAATTGGGCGTCACCCCCACACTAGAGTAGATGATTGCTATTCTCTATAAAATCAGAGTTAAACTTGACTTGAGATACATTTACATTGGACTTCTTTGATTATACTTTATATTTTTTTCTGGTAAATAATGTACAACTCAGAGCAATGGTTATTGCATGAGGAGGGGCTGGGTTAGTAACAGAATTGGGTATTTTCTGGGTCTTCTTAGTTATCTCAATATACTGTATATACGGTAGTTATTATATGGGAGGGGTAGTAACAGAATTTGGAGGTGTGGGGGAACAAGTCAGCATTAAGTATCAATTTCATCTTCAGAGTTCTGGATTTCATAAGATACATCTTCTGGAGTCTTTCTGATTCATCTCCTGGTGCTATATCAACAATCATTTGTATGAGAATACCAGTCAATACCCATGTCCTGCTGGAATGTCAGGGTTTACAATATGGGCCATATGCACGATAAGTGCTTTGTAGTAAGCTCTTGACAAGGTGGAAGAAGACTGATGTCGGTTCCTTCATAGTCTTTGATTGTTTTAGTATGGGGTCTAAACTTCTATTTCAATTGGTTTATCTGGTTTTGCTGGTGTAAGACATTGTGGCTTAACATAAATGTTTTTTATATTAATCAGTCTTCTTTTGTTTGTCCAGCATGGCAGCACTACACTTTGCTGTATTCTGTGCTTATCCTAACACATTGATAGAAGGAATAAATAAATGAAATGAAAGATATGTAATCTTTAAAATGCACATGAGAGATGGATTGAAAATGTGTTTATTCCTTGTGACAATATTACTCTCTGGACCCAAATGGGCCCTAAGGAAATATACTAAATTTCATGGATTCTCTGATGGGTTGTTTTGTTTCTGGAGCTGGCAGAAAATACATGTTTTTCAAGATACTTCTAACAGCAGAGTGATTATGTGATAATTAAATCCAAAATTCTATAAACGAACCTGATAGGAGAAGAAGAGGGTGGTGGCATGTCATCACCTTATCAAATGTAGAAAAACATGAGTCCCTTAAGATTAGAATGACTTCATGAATAAGGATGCAAATAAGAAGCAACTAATTTTACTTAATTGAATGATAAAGACCAGAATATGCCTAGAAAAAATCTACTGTGTAGCAGGTGGGAAATGCCATATTCTTTCTAGTGATCATCATGATAAACCATGACATTTTATTTCTTCCCAGCCCTTAAGGTGAGACAGAAAGATGCTATGAGTATTAGAATGTGTAGTGATGACAATACAATAACAACTATAGATGAGCCTTCTCATAGTCTGATCATTTTCGTTCTTTTGTTTTATTGCATGATATTGATATATCAACAATCTCTTAAGAGAAAATACCACTAAACACTTGCAGATTTGAGAGTCATTCAGCTGGGACACAATATGGTGCTCCATCTTTTTAACATGTGCTATCCTGCCCCTTCAAAGCATGGCACTTACTTAATCTAGCGAAGGTATGAAGGCTGCATATAATATGCCAGGCCCTAGATGGGAGTAGTAACAGAATAATTGGGAGGGAGAGGTCCGTAACCACTTCCCCACCCTCACCCCATGTAAAAACTATACTACTAAACGTATTTATGAGAAATGTTTTATGTAAATTATATTCGAACATGACTGTATTCACGCCTTCTATGAACTGTGAACAAAGTCAATATTTTACCCAGGGTATATTCGTCAACACTACCCTTGGTAATACGAGTAATATGTGACATTCAAGAGGGCTGTAGTAATGGCAGACCATAAGTTGAATATTCGAAAAATTTTGGGGAGTTTTCATGTTTGAATTGTAATATATACCTCAGAGCAGGCGTGATATTGACAATGACCCCTTAGGGCTAGGTACAAAAGCTTTCGAGCCCCTCACTCCCTTGCCAAGCCATGTGGAGTATATTTGTCAATATAACACCTGCTCTTCAGTCTATATTTCTTAAATAATAGAAGTATAGATGACAGTGATCTTCCAAGCATAAGCAAGTGGGTGCAGCACCCACCTTAGATTTTGAAAATATGTTTGCACCCACCTGAAAATCCATATGCACCCACATGAAAGTGAGAAAATCATGAAAAATTGGCATACTTTGACCAATTTTGGTCTGAATTGTGAAAATGAAAATTTTGTACCCACCTGGGAAGAAATCCTGGGGAGATCACTGGATGATCTTAAAACTCAAGTTGACCTCTGTTTGTAGAGAATGAACCATATACTGTTGTTGGGGCGACTCCCACTTTTGATCACTTATGTAATTGTTTGGTCTTGGACACTAACCTATTATGTTTATTGTAATATCCTATATATTGAGATGAATATGAAGAAGACCTAGAAGATGTACATGTTCCTTAGTAAATCCAGAACGAAGTATTATGAGATTTATACTTGAAGCTGATTAGCGCTGCCCCCTTCCAGTTTCTATTACTAGCCCCCCCCCTCTCAACCTGCCTCTCATGCAATAACTATAAAACTCAGGTGTCACTGGTCAGTATCGAGCGATGGTATATGCCATATAAGCCTGGTTTAGTTCAAATATCAAAGAATTACATCAACCATAAAGTAGCTTAAGTCATTGAAAACTATAAATATCTTCTCAACTGACACCAGTGAGATATACATTATTTACCTAAAATGGTTGATATTAAGTATATAATCAAAGAAGTATAAATGATAAATATATATATATATCTCAAAAATTCTACTTAAACCCTGTATTTATAGAGAATGGTAATCATCTACTATTATGATGGTGATGCTGCCTACTTTTGATCACTTATGTAATGGTATGGTCTTTGACACCAATCATGTAAAATGTAGTACCTACATATTGAAATGAAAATGAAGAAAACCCAGAAAAGTAACCTTTGAAAATCCAGAACTATATAAATGAGAATTATACTAAGGCTGATTAGCTCTGCCCCATCCAAATTCTGTTACTACCACCCCCCCCCCCCCCCCGCTTCCCATGCAACAACTTTTACACTTAGATGTACTAGTACATTATATTTACCAAAAATGCATGATATTAAGTATATTCAAAGAACTTCAATATAAATGTATCTCAAAAGTTAAGTTAAACTCTGTCTTTTCAGAGAATGGTATTCATTTACTAATATGGGGGCGACGCCCACTTTTGATCACTTATGTAGTAGTATGGTCTTTGACACTTACCAATTATATAAATTCCAATATCCTTTATGCTTAAACAAATGCTTGAACTTCCCTGGCAATTTTGGGTGTGCTAAAATATTCTTAATCTGTTGATTTGAAAAAAATCCACATTCTATATTATGTACCTGTACAGGTTTTGCCAAAATTAAGGATTTTTCAATGAAAATAGTGGTTTCCATGGCAACCATGAGTGACAGGTGATTGAAACTTAACATACTACCTCAGCATGATCCAATCAACTCCCCATAAAATTATTATGATGATTGAAGACCAACTGAATGATTTATTCTATGATGATAAAGTACCCCCTGTAATTTTCCATTTTAGGGTCGAAAACGCCAATTTGACAACTTTCGCCCCGGATACGGCGCGTCAGACAAACATTTTCTGAAGTTTCACATAAAAATACATAAGAAACAAGTAATTTCAATTTGTTCACGAACTAATACATTTTTGGGTGCTAGCTTACTACCTAAATGTTATGTCGGTTTTTTAATGCTGCCAAACTCGCCTTGAATATGACGCCTCTTTCAAAGTAGCAAAACAACTGTCAGTAGATAAAGTACAGTACTGTGATCTGTATATCCAATTGGAGGTTTAACAGTTGTATTGCTAATTTGATCAGGGTTGTTTGTAAATAATAAATCAATACATGACCTACTTAGATTTGTTCAGAGTAGGTTCATCTATAAGTTGCAAAGACTCAATGTCTCTGAATGATCATACAATATTCTTCATTTTCATTTTCTAATGCCAACCAGCTTTTACATCTGGTGGTATTAAAATCACCAACCAACTTGATTAACAAGTAAATGACTGCTATTATCTCTTAAACCAATCGAAATGAAGCTGTGTTTGAAAATATAGTTTTAATGAGTTTCTAAGTAGAAATATGATTCAAAAGATTAGTTCGTAAACGGTTGCTATAGTAACACAAATGAATGGCATTGTTTGTTAATATACTCGTTTGGCTACTGTAAGTATTGATAGATGGATAGATATATAGCTTATTTGGATTGATTTCTGTATTGTTTATTCTTAGAAATCCAGCTCATCCGGTGTTCAGTATAGACAATAAGAAAATGGCACGTTCTCTAACATACTATTTCTTCGCAATTTTACTAATTTTAAGTACAATTACATTAGTTTGCTGGCGTTTGATGACATCTTCGTTCGCTATGTCTTTACTACGGCCAGACGGGAGCAAAGTAAACGAAGATGGTTTGTTGATGTCATGGAAACCACATAAACAGCAAACAAAGGCGCAGCAAACGTGCGGCAAAGGATTCAATCTAAGAGGATATTCAGAAAAAGATCGAAATGAAGATCTGATTATCTACACTGAAGTACCCAAATGTGCAAGTACAACTTTTATGCAGATTTTGTCAAATGCTTGTAAAAATTCTAAAACGTATTCAACTCATTATACAATGCCCCAGGTGATACAGGATCTACTAAAGGTACCGAGCTTTTCAAGTAAGCAAAAATTTGTTAAAATTCAAGTTCTACCATTCACAAAACAGCCGTACATTTTTATGGGACATTTAACTTTCTTTGATTTTAATGAGCTAGGATACAAGCAGCCTTTATTCATAGACTTAGTTCGAGATCCCGTCGAAAGGTGGATATCTTTATATTACTATACTAGGGCAGATTCGTACTTTAGAAACTGGCTGAAACTAACTCCTGACGAGATAAAACAAACTCTGGGAGATTGCCTTCACTTGTGGATACGTCAGGCTGGTTGTATGGGAAGGGATGCCAAAGACACTGCAACATGTTTAAAAGCAAGGCCATTTTCTGGATGCAAAGGGGGGCATATTGTTTCAACATATCCAGAGTGGTTTTCTGGTAAATATGCGCACATCAATTCTTCAATGGTGTCCATAGAAAGAGCTAAAGCCAACATCGAGAAATACTATACATTCATTGGAATAACTGAGCATTTTAAAGAAACATTGGTTGCCATGGAGACTATTTTACCTAGGTTTAAAAATGAACTGTCTGAGGCATACAAATCAACAGAGAGAGCAAATGTTGGTCATAATAAAGTGAGACCAAATAATTCAAGTATTGCGGTGATGAGAGAATTGTTAGCAGATGATTATGACCTCTACAAGTTTATACTCCAACGATTTTACATCCATTTGAAGTGTTTGGGTGTGCACGGTATCATATGAATACTATAGTTTCCATGGTTACGTTGCCAAAAGTAACTGAGATAAAGCAAAAATTGCGATGTGAGTTGTAAAAAAACAATTAGTGGAAATAAATAAGCTTTCTTGTTAAATAAAAATAGCATTCTCTTGCTCGAAGACTTTTAACTTTCGAATTACGATTTCTTATGTGGAGGAAATGAACTGACTCATCAGAGAATAAAGATTCTGTTTATGAGAATATGTTTCTCTAAACTATACATATTAGTAGGAGTGAAGATTTATAATCATCGGATGGGTATAATTTAGAAAATCAGAACTGTACGTTGACGAGTTAAGTTGTCTGTACGTTGAACATGTTGAAATCTATGGGATGTAACAATGCATTTGCATTTGGCATTTGCTTTTGTGTTGCTAGTTTGCCCATATGAGCCAAAACTCAGCACGATCATAAATCAGTACACCGTTCCTACATTTCTCATTCTCATTCTGACACTTATTTCATTTGGGAATTTTGAGAGCCTTTAAATAGAAGATGAAAAACACTTTTTATTCAAATGTAAAAAATTGGAGTTTATCAGAAAATTCCATATTGAAAAACTTGAAAACCTGTGTAGTAATTTTAAAAACATTATGATCACCAAAAGACAATTTTTCTATTGACGAGTGAGGGGATCATATTAAAAGAATCTGCTGACATGATAAAGTATCTAATGATTGGTAGAGACAGGATTCTTATATCAAAGTAACATTTTATATATGTCATTTGAAGAATGTAATCCTATTTTCTTTACTTTATTGCTATATTTACTGTTATTGAAAATTGTATATCGGATGTACGTTTGGCCCTAAAAGGGCATCAGTACTAATAAAATCCTATATCTATATAATAATTGATTCTTAATGATATACCAGTGCGTCATTGTGAATTCTTAACTTTCTAGAAAAGCTGTTAATTAAGAGTTGAATTAATGATTTGATATAAATAAAAACTATTAAACTATTGTGTCATGGACTCTAATTAATACATCAAATACCATCAGATTTCTCAAAATACAAAAATGTCAAAATTGTATGAGACATACTTAAAGGTATACCATCAGATTTGTAAGGAGGCTAAACTAGCATTCTGCTAGCATACTGAACTGAACTGTATGTATTATTTATTTTCGTCTATAATAAGACAGTTAGATATTAATACAACAGCCAGTATCAATTAAACCTTGGCAGACGAGCTACATCTAGATCATCTAGATCTATAACAAAGAACAAGCTAAGAACAAGTTGAACAGGTTTTCAACAATAATCAAAACATACATCTTTAACTTAATAATATAACGTGAATTAATGAACACAATCTCCTTTATAATGATGCGAGGCCTAATCTTTTGCGTGCTTTCCTCACACGGGCATCCAGTTGTTTCATGTACCTCGGCATCACTTCATCAACTGTCTGTCCCTTCCGTTTGGCCTGACATTCCTTTCTACTATTAGAGCGACACCTATATCTGTAATGGTGAACATATCCAAACTTGTAGTGTTCTGCTATTAATATATTCGTCGCATAACCGACGGTTTTAGTTTCTATATTTTTAACAACAGTGTGCCAGTTTATAAATAAAGCTTTGGTAGGATCGACTATGGACTTCGGCTGGCTGAATACCACCTGCGTTCGTCGCAGATAATGCATCATGTGCAAAAAAGGTGGCGCTGTGTTATCTTCTGCTCCAAAGTAGGTCAAATGCTGCGCAGACTTAAAAGAAAACGCACTGGTATTTGGGTATATAAAAAACAGTTTATCCATCAGCTTTGTTAATGTTGTAGGCTTGTTGGGAACAATAACCTCGTCATAATCTATCACCAAAAGGTACTTGAAGTTCTTCCTGAACCTGTAAAGGCAATCATTGTAGGCTACGAGATATGCCTGCTGTTGTAGCCAATAGTAATCTAAATGATGGGAATTGCCATCCGGAAACGAGTTTGTATCTGCTTTCACCTTCTCTGGGAACAAATCGGGAATAAGTTCTACAGCACCTCGCTCAGCGTAGTCTTGTAATACATCAATTGCATTTGAAGTAACATTAGTGTTGTAGACGATGATACGATCGACCCCTAGTAACTTGTTCATTTCAATCCATTCAACCATTCTAGTTGCGTTTATGTTCCCTGTGACTGATTTCAGACATAGCCCCATGCCCTTACGTTTCCCATTCAGTCCATCGCCGTTCAGTATGGGTAATGTAACACTTGCGATGCTGGGGTTGATATAGATGGTTACCGTAGAAGTAGCTCCCTGGGGTAACGACAGGGGGAACACGCAACTGTACATGTAGGCGATATGACGGCATTGCTTTTTCCGACATGGCCATGTATCAAATATAGGTTGAGTCGCGTGAACAATCGTCTCGAGATGACCATTACCACTTTGCTGCGGGAAACGACAATACACCGTGTTATTAAAGTTCCGACCCTTTAAACCAATCAAGCGAATCGTTGTAGGAGAAATTCGATCGTCCAGAAACGCTGAATAAAAATAGAAGTCCGTGTCGTTCGGACCTCTTATTGGGTAATATCGTTTGTCAGGATATTTCCAACCGGTTAAATCTGGCTCCAGATACGCTTCGTCAATATTTGTACCATTTGGGTCATCGTGGATAAGCGCAACAGGCGCGTCCTTCCGAGCGATATGAGTTTTATTTGCCCGAACTATCGATGCACGTTGATATCTGACATTCTTCTCTTGGACAATATGGTAAGTTGTTTGTTTTAACAGATATTCGTTGAAGAGAAATAGGATGGCGACTACGCAAAGGAACAAGACTAGTTGATTAGAGCCCCTTATGTGCCCCAAGTAATTGAGAGTCCTCTTTAGGCGCCGCAATAGTGACATCTTTTGATAATCTGAAATTAGAAAAACAGAAATGTTTACATTCTGATATTCATCACATCTTTCTGTTTACTATCTATAAAAAGGAGAAATAGGATTGACGACCTACATTTTTGTAGTTTTGAGAAGTAGGTCACTGAAATATAATTTTTCATGCATTGTAGAAAAATATTTACCCTCATATAATAATCTAGGTACATTTATGTACTGCAAAACTGTCGACTGTATGCGTAATGAGTTATACCTTGGGCACATTTGCTCCGATTTTCACGTACGGCGCCCAGCCGATTGAGTATTTTGTTCAAAATTAAATACAATATTGAATAAAACACTCAATCGGCACGGCGCCGGCCGATGGATCGGAGCAAATGTGACCCAGGCATTACGTGTAACATGAGATTCCAACTGGGATCCTATTGAAATTACTAAACATTCTACAACCTAAAAAATGATCAATGATATGTGCGTGCTCATTATAAATTATCTCTAAAAGTTTCCACGTTTACCTTGATTCGACTCATTCCAAGTAATTTATTTGTTTTCTGCAACTGCTTTCTTCATATGAGATTCAACGTAATTGTCCTTGTCAACTTGCTTCATTTGGTATTCATTATCCAACCTCGCCTGTAAAATCATTCATGCACTCGCCTGTACGACCAATGCCTCGCTGCTCTAATGAATTTTATGGGTTTCTTTTTTTACTGATCGGATCCGTTGATATACCCGATTGACAACTTGGTGACGGGATCAAAAATAAGTATGGTATTACAAATTGATCATGAATAAATCAGCTTACATTTTCTAAATATATTACAGGGTAATGCCTGGATCACATTTGCTGCGATTCATCGGCCGGCGCCCGGCCGATTGAGTATTTTGTTCGAAATTGAATAAATTTCTGAACGAAATACTCAATCGGCCGGGCGCCGTAGTGAAAATCGGACCAAATGTGACCAAGGCATTACATAGTTATTATTATCACAGTGTGACTATTCGGTAGTCTGTTCAGTTTTTGGTATTAGACCCTAATGCCATGGTCACATTTGCTCGGTATTTCTCTACGGCGCCAGGCCGATTTCAAGAGTATTTTGTTCAAAATTGTATTCAGTTTTGAAAAAAATGCGGCACCTGCCGATTGAGTATTTTGTTCAAAATTGTATTCGAATTGAACAAAATACGGCGCCCGGCCGATTGAGTATTTTGTTTAAAATTGTATTCAGTTTTGAACAAAATACTCAATCGGCCGGGCGACGCGGATGAATCGGTGCAAATGTGACTGCGGTGTAAACTATTGAATATTTTAATGTAAATGTCATGATAACAATGTAAATATTGACACATTATCATAAAATACATACATGTAGTTCAAAATCAAAGTGTTTTGTTAAAATTATGTTAATGTGAGATTTTTAAAACTTCTAATTTGTAAAGCTACGGCCGCCGTACGGCCACCGTAGAGCAAATGTGACTGAGACTTAAATTCATGTCGAAAGAGTTGGTTCAGATAATATTTGACACTTTTTAAAACATGGTTTGTTTTTTATGATTGAAAGTACTTTTGTGTTACCTCATTTTTTGAATGATCGTTACACAGAATGCATTCATGTTTGATGAAATATCCAATTTTGAGTCTTGGCCAAATATGGTCCTCAATTCTTATACCGTATCATCGTAAACTAATGCCTTGGTCACATTTGCTCCGATTTTCACTACGGCGCCCGGCCGATTAAGTATTTTGTTCAGAAATGTATTCAATTTTTAACAAAATACTCAATCGGCAGGGCTCCGGCCGATGAATCGCAGCAAATGTGACCCAGGTATTAATGCAATGTTTATTGCATTTCGAAAATAAGACAATAATTAACCTAATGCCTTGGTCACATTTGCTCCGATTTTCACAACGGCGCCCGGTCGATTGAGTATTTTGTTCAAAAGTGAATACACAATATTGAACAAAACACTCAATCGGCCGGGCATAACATGACATTAACATGTCAAAATGTCAGCAGCTACCATTTGTTGTTACAGACGCCGATCGCCGAACAATCTCCACAAAAAAAGTTTGAAACTAAATCATTTGATTAAGGTACTCTTGCTTATAAGTTTATACTCATTCGGGTCCAGTAAGGGACATGCAAGAGGACCTTAACCATGCGGGGGGAGGGAGTGATACAGTAAACCGGGAGAGACATCTATCTGTATTACAGGGTAACAAAATCCATAAACCATTTATCCTTGGCACCAAACAATGTACAATAAAATCAGAATTGGATTTCGTTTATTCTATTCAAACTACCGGAGTAAATACATAATCGAGATTGTTAAACGTATTTGTATTGTTAGAGAATTCTATAGGTTTTATCAAGTGGTCGCATTGAATTTCAAATCACTAACCATTTACGATTATACACTACATGTATATATCGCCAATGTTTTGGTGCTGTTTTAGTGGATTATCGGTCGGTATGTAGGAATCTAGGAACATGGCTGGAATTGAAATCTTTAAATGAAATATAATAGGAATAATTTTAAGGAAAATATACGGATCTAAATCAATGTTCCAATGTTGTACTTGTTTATAGTCTAAAGTGAGGACATCTGCAATACTCTAGTGTCGGAATAGGGGGTCAATTACGACGATTCTTCGACAATACAACCAAAAACAAATTGGTAAGTAATCTCATAGACTAGAGGACTATAAAAACACGGTTATGTGATAACTAATTCGGTAGTAAATAGTTTAGATAGTACTAAGATAGTTGTGTTGTTCGAAAATGTAAACTAAGCCGCTTCACCTAAGCCTAGTGACTAAATCTCCCACTGTGCGATTATCGTAAAATTTTATTCCATATTTTTATATCATACCATGATTAAATATTTAATATTTTGTAAGGTGGTCAGAATTGATCACAATTATCAAATATTTACGTTTATATTATGAAACAGTTCGAAATAAAACTAGAGGAGTATAGATTCCAACTACATGTACGTCTCTCTAAATATTCAGCCATCTGTGAATAAGCCATACACACATACATCAATTATAAAACGTTGCCAATAATTAGTGTCTATGTAAAACAATGGAACAATCGATCACAACATACTGAGGCAATTCTCGGGGAAACTGATACTCTGCTATTAATGATACATATTGCAGGATCATTATGACTTTGACAGACAAGTGCTGAAGGTCTTGCACCAAGCCACCAAGCCCCTGTGTCTCCGTTCTCTTTTCAGGCCAGCTCGAAGGAGAGCCTTGATACAAAATTATTTGGTTATTTCAGCTTCAGAGCCATACGTCAAACCACTGTCGTCATGGAAATGTCACGGTCGTTGGTGACAGGGTTCGGTATCCCGGGATCAGACACCCTCCAAATTACAGGAGAATCTCCGCGAGGTAAGCTACCTCAATACCGTTCAACTGACGAGAAAACAGCCATGCTAACACGGCCGACTACGAACAAAGGTATCCGCTACCATGCCCTTGACTGCTCGAATACAAGCCTAGATAAAATCATTGATGTACCAAAGGAAAGGAAGCTTAAATCACGCCGTTCTAAGAGGGACACAGCAGTGGACCTAACCGTAGATGGAGAAAGATATAAATGGCCAACGAAACTGAACCTTAAAGAAGTCGATCCAATGGTATGGATATTCGTTCCCTTCTTTCTATTCTCAACGTGTTCAATTCCGTGTATATCTAAAGCTTCAGCCATATTTGCTCTACGGCGGGCGTACGGCGGCCGTAACTTCTCAAAATCGATATACATCGTATAGCTTATCCCTATATTTTATGCTGCATATTTTCTCGATTTTTGGGAAGCTACGGCCGCCGTACGTTTACCGTGGATCATAAGTTAGGTCATCTGAAATCATCCCAGGACTGTGATTCAGTTATATCCTCCTATAAGCTATATATTCTTTTCATGAACAACCTTATATCATCGACCTTGAAAACCAGGTGAAATATCAAATACGTCTTAATCTCAAATGAGACGCCTCTTTGGCAAAATGAGATAGTTAAAGCCAATTAGATAACATATAGATAGGAGGGTAATTTAAACAAATAAAAGCACATGGAGTTTAAAAGTCCATCCACTGTTATGTATTGCTTAGTGATGTTAAAGTATATACCTGGCAGTGAAAAGACAAAAATGATCGATCAGACTACACGTAACAATGTTGTAAATCAATATAACATGTGCCATCGATATTACTCTAAATACCTATATCTTTTTTAATGATTATGACTTCAGGCACACATGGGTTATATATCTCTCGAGCTTCTAAAAAGAATAACATGCATATTTCTACCTCTGCATATATTGATTATATTTAGAGAATGTACAAACAGATGTGGCAAATGGAATTAGAAAAGGAATTTTTGAGATGGATTAAGTAGGACTAAACTGATACCAATACCTTGCAATTGAAAGTGTCAGTTTCGACACGCAATTTGAAAAATACAAAGGAGGGTCCGATATATCAGAATGGGGTTCATCCCATGATCCTTTTGGGCCCTCGGAAATCATATCGTCCCTTAAGATAAAACCCATATTCAATTCCTCCCAGTGAAAAACCTTTGTATTAAAATAATCCGTATAACAACAATTCACTTCAGGCTCAGGATCTTGACGTTGATGAGGACGCCTATCTCCGAGATTTCCTGTTTGCCGTGGAAACACGAGACTTGGAGAGAATACAATTTCTCATGCCCAGTATAAAGGCAAATCAGGATAAGATCCTGCGGGAGACTACGGGAGCGGGGGGTTACTACGAATTGGCGATGGGGAACTCCGACAACATTGAGTTTGTTCTCTCAGAGGGTTTACTCCGTGCGGCGCACTATGGCTCCGTTCCCATTGTAGAGTTCCTCATAGAAAGCGGAGCAAATGTCAATGCTAAAAATTCAGTAAGTGTAATGTTTTTTTCAATTTTTGACTTATCTTTGACTGTTAGACGGAACAAGAGGTTCGCCATGAGCATTCTTTAGTTGTTTGATCACTTTGATTACTCGGTGAATATAGATTCATTCTTAGACTATCAAGGTTATATTAGAACAACCGAATCCTTAACCTAATATAGCATCTTCGCACGCTTAGTCTTTAATGCGTTCAGAGAGATGAGATATGACCAAACGAAGATTAATATCGACGACATCCAATGTTTTTAGGAGGGACTGTCTCCATTGATGCGTGCCTGTGAGAAGGGACATCTTGACGTTGCTCAAACGTTAATGGACGCTGGGGCGAATGTCAACCAGACGAGTAACGTAAGACATAAGCATTTACCATTTTCTAAAGGGGGTGTTATATTAGTTGGTTTTCTCTGGCGTTTTCTTGACAAACCAGGCCTAAGCATTGTCATATAAATGTTTTTAAAAAAGTCGAGGAAAAGATTGGAATGTACTAAAAAACAAATAAACATCTTAAAATCTTATTCTGGATAGAAATATCACAAATGCTAATGTAGTGCTTCAAAGAGCGAGATAATTATAACAAATGGTCATAAACATTTGGATACTAAATCTGCATCCTAAGTCCCAAAACATGTATGATGTTGGCATTCCCTGTACTCTCTGTGTGACCAGTCCAGACATTCGTTTCACTCTGCTCACCTTTATCAAATTGTGACATGTGTTTGTTATAGGTTGGTTTCACTGCCCTACATTACGTATCTAGGATCCCCGAGCGATGGCAATCTGTGGAGTTCCTCCTTCGATGTAGGGGCGTCGAGAACAGCAATGACAAGCACAAGGTGAGTTTGGTCCCCGGGGTTTGGTAAAACACCACATGACAGATATTAGTCGATAGATAAAGTTTCTAGAATTCGACCAATACATGAAACAATAGGGTTTTTAATCATTGCACAATTTCCTGTTACGATTATCATTTTATTCGGACTCAATTTGACACTGTGGTTTCTACGATACCCAAGCTTTTAAATCGCCATCTCTCACAAAGTACGAAGATGGAGAGAACATAATCACAGGGATTAGCTTTCTAATTATCAGACCAACTTCAGCAAAATGCAGATCCAAAATGAAACTTCCCCCTATCTGAGACTAACATAATTTGTGATGGTCTCAGCTCCTATTAAAAGTAATATTTTCTACAGTTTGGTCTTACTCCCCTGCACTGTGCCTCTGAGAGAGATGTTATTGGAAAATCTGTATTCCTGCTTTTGAAGATCGGTGGAAAGGACGGAGCCCGACAGAATGCAGTTGACAAGGTGAGACAATGTTCCACTGTATGACCATAATTGCAGTTAACGTCATGAGTAATGGCGGGCGGAAGTAGAGTATATTTTTATTATTAAAGTTACAAAATTCACATTCGTTCGGGAAATGACTTCACCAGAAGATGGAAATCGATGCTTAAAATTACACCGATTATAAAAGCAATGAATGTTAATACACCATTGGAAAGCTGGTAACAGTGGTGCATAAGAATTAGGTAGTAAGCTAGGACACAAAAATGTTTTTACCAGTGAACAAATTGAAATTACTTGTTTCTTATGTATTTTTATGTGATACTTCAGAAATTTGTTGTCTGACGTGCCGTATCCGGGGCGAAAGTTGCCAAAGTGGGGTTTTTGACCCTAATATAGAAAATAACAGGGGGTACTTTATTATCCTTGAATAACTTTTTCAGTTGATCTTTAATCATCACAATAACTTTACTGGAAGTTGTTAATATCATTCTTAATTAGTATGCAAAGTTTCAATGATCTGTCATTAATGGTTGTCATGAAAACCATGATCTTTGTTGAAAAAGTCCATAATTTGGGTAAAACCTGTACCTGTACATCATAAAGAATGGGCATTATTTTTAAAAATCAACAGATATCAGAACATGTTAGGACTCTAAAAATTATCAGGACAGTTCAGAGATTTGTTTAAATATAATGGATATTGTTATTCACATGATTGGTAAGTGTCAAAGACCATACAATATACATAGGTCATCAAAAGTGGGCGTCGCCCTTATAATAGTAGATGATTACCATTCCCTTTAAATACAGATTTTAAGTTGACTTGAGATACAATTATAATGTACTTCTATTACCATAATCTATATCAAGCAATTCTGGTAGATACATATAAGTGTTGTAGGTATTACATCATGCTAGGGATGGTGGGTACATTGGGGGGGGGGGGGTGTTAGAGGTACCCAGCCTTATATAAAACTCATATACAAAGTTTAATTTCATGTAGTACATCTTTTGGATCTTGTTCTTATTTATCTCAATATATAGGATATTGCAATTTACATTATTGGAAAGTGTATAAGACCATACAATACAACAAACATAAGTGTTTAAAAGTGGGGTTTGCCTTCATAATAACTGGGTTCATACACCTTTTTCAAAATGAAATTCCCTGACATTTCAAGGCAAAAAAGGAAATTCATGCGCAGCCTACTAAAAAGTCTCAAACAACTGTACAAGACTTATAATGAAACATTTTATCCAATACCCAGTAAATGTCAAGGGGGTGAAATTCTTTGGGTTTGCATCACTATGAGTGAAGCGAAACCCAAAAGGGAATACTGGGGTTCACCTCCCAAAATTTAAAAAAATTTACATTGTAAATGGTGCATTCTAAGCATTTCAAACTATAATTTGTCAACTACTGATCATTGTTAACATTATATGATAACAATAACCTGGCATTACTATTGTCTTCACCCCTTTGGGAAAATCCACACCAAGACATGAGACCATATTAGAAATTCCTTCTCTAGTAACGTCACTATACGGAATAGTCCTATGATACCAAATAAAATAATCTGTATTTGTGTTATCAGGAATATTACCTCATCTGAAAACAGCAACTTTTTGAGTAGCAACAAGCTTTTTTCTTGAACAGAGTCATGTGCCCATCTGCAAAATAAATCTGAACCAAAAATGGTGAGTGTCTTTTTGAGCAGAGGCCCCATATAACCAAAGCATCAGTATATAAAGTCTGATATTTGAGTTATTTTGACAGATAGGCAGGTGAATAGACTGATGTAAGACAGCTTCTCATATAGATACAGTTTTACACAGAATCGTTATTGTTTTTCACCACCCACCCTCCTCAGATTAAACCCTCAACAAAACATGAAACATATACCAATAATTAACTATGAATGGCCTAAGACTAACTTACTACAAGGAAAAGCATAATTGTATTGAACCATCTATACTGTACATACTGTATATGTAGATTCTTTATTGTTCGGTTTCAGTATAATGTTCACAATGTTCTTACAAATAGACAATACAACATAGATTGTCATCCAATCAACCCTAATGAAAAGATTTCCAATTAGTGGAAACAACTGAATGTTAGAATTTGAATTTCATTGATATCCTGTCATAGCCAAAAATGTATTTTGCTGGAACATTATATTTTCAACATTGATACAAAATACCCTGACATATCTACTGTTTCAAAATTCCCGGACTCATCAACATAATTTTGTGTCTCATAGTCAGTACATTTCTTGGCCTTGTATTTTCTTAGCATATTGTGGTCATTTCCAATCATTTAACATTAACTGGCATAGTTGCTTCTTGTTTGCATCATTCTTCAAGAACTCATTCCAATCTTTTGGGACTTTTATATTTCTCGCTTTGGTTAAGTTGCTGCCAAGCCTCTTCTCATCCTTTCATACCAAAATATGTGAAGCCCTCCCAGCACTTCATGCTTTCACTGGGTGTAACACTGTGAGTGCCTTGGTTCGGAGGGGCAAAGTAACACCTTTCAAAACAATGGCAAAGGGAAAAACCATACAGACACATTCAAAGAACTAGGACTCTCAGCAGACATAAATGACGAAACAACCAGTAAAGTAGAAAAAGTTTGTTTACCATATAAATGGTGTTTCATATGTATGCACCTCATACATTTAACTCATACATGTAGCTTTGCCACCCTATCATGTTATATATCATTTTGTTCCTTATGAAAAGTTACATGGGACTGGAAAGTTTCAGAATAAAGAGGTGTCCCTGAAAAAAAGATACAATCCAACAAAATATGTGGGTAGGGGGTCATTTATAAGCAGTTTTGTAAGGATTTTTATGCCAGTCCGGTGATCTGTTCACTGTGTCTGCTACCCAATTTAAGTGATAAAATGGTCCCATGGTTCCTGACCTCCCTGTAAGCCACTGCATGAATCTTGTCTATATATCTTTGTGCATAACTGCCACAGACATGTGGACTGAGCTCTGCCATGGTGACAATAGCAAGAAATGTGCAAAACGGAAACTAAATTTGTCCTTAAATTGTCCTCAAAATCACCAGAAATTGCCGTCTAAATGACCGGTACCCACAATCTTTGATAGATTATAACTTTTGTCAGTGACACCCCTGGATTCTGAAACTTTGGAATCCTATGTAATTTTCTATAAGGCACAAAATGATATATAATATGATACGGTGGCAATGCTACGTATGTTTAGAGGGGGTGTATACATATGAAACACACTGTATACTAGTATAGGAAACCTCAAATATCCCACATCAACAAAGTCAGATATGTGTTATTTAAAAAGAAGTTTAGGCCCCATACTAAAACAATAACTGACTATGAAGGAACAGATATTACTCTACCTCCCCCTTGTCAAGACTCCCCATGCTTCACTTAGCAAGGGCCAACTTACAGGCACTTATCTTACGTATGGCCCATTTTGAAAAAGCTAATATTTCAGCACCAGCTGGGCTTGGGTGGAAACTTAATGATTCTAAAAAACCTTGAAGTTCAATGGGTAATGGCCTAGTCACATAGCCCGGCCGATGAGGTTCCGATGCGCCAGTGAAGCAATTTTCACCGAACTCGGCCGAACACCGGCCGGACATCCGTGGCGTTTGTTGCTTAAAACCGCATCGGTGGCAGCTCGGTGAAATTTTAACTTCGGAGTTAAATTTCACCGGGCTCTCACCGAGCTCCCTCATCGCAGCCCCATCGTAACCACATCAGAACACACGTCGGCCGGTGCACGGCCGAGTATCGGTCGGTGTCCCGTGCATCTGAGACAACCAGAGGATGAGGTTTTTTTAACGGACACCGGCCGAGCTCCGACCGAGCTCCGGCCGATGTGGGACAGAGCCTTGGAAAGTATAGTACCTGAAGATGTCCGGACGGAGTCCGTTCACGTCACCGAGCTCTGCTTCCGATGAGGAGAGCTCGGTGGCACCAAAAAAATCCACCGAGCTCTACCGATGCCGGACATCGGCCGGGCTATGTGACTAGGCCATTACAACAGATATTCTACCACAAGAGATTGTTGATATCTTAACACCAGGGGAAGAATCAGAAGATGACCCAGGAGATTGACCCTATAAGATCCAAAATTATGTTGATGAGATTTATAACTAAGGCTGACTAGATTTGCCCCCCCCCCTCCCCACATTGCCCCCCCCCCTCCCCCAGCCTGATGGAATAACATCAATACTTAAATGTGTTTTCTAGAAATGCTTAATATGAATTAAGGTTATAAAAATCCAGTATAATTGTATCTCATAAGTTAAACTCCATATTTATAGAAAATGGTGGTCTTCTATTATCATTATGAGGGCAAAGCCCATCTTTGATCACATTTGTATTGTAATTGTATGGTCTTTGACACTTTCCAATAATGTAAATTGCAATATCCTATATATTGAGATAAATCAGAACAAGATCCAAAAGATGTACCACATGAAACTAAAACTTTATATATGAGTTTTATATAAGGCTGGTTACCTCTACCCAACCCTCCCCAAATGTACCCCCCCCCCCCTGCCCCCCCCCCCATGATGTAATGTTGATGTAATACCTACAACACTTATATGTATCTACAAGAATTGCTTGATATAGATTATGGTAATAGAAGTACATTATAATTGTATCTCAAGTCAACTTAAATCTGTATTTAAAGGGAATGGTAATCATCTACTCTTATAAGGGCGACGCCCACTTTTGATCACCTATGTAATTGTATGTTTTTTGACACTTACCAATCATGTGAATAACAATATCCATTATATTTAAACAAATCTTTGAACTGTCCTGATAACTTTTAGAGTACTAACATGTTCTGATATCTGTTGATTTGAAAAATAATGCACATTCTTTATGATGTACAGGTACAGGTTTTACCAAAATTATGGACTTTTTCAACAAAGATCATGGTTTCCATGACAACCATTAATGACAGATCATTGAAACTTTGCATACTAATTAAGAATGATATTAACAACTTCCAGTAAAGTTATTGTGATGATTAAGGATCAACTGAAAAAGTTATTCAAGGATAATAAAGTACCCCCTGTTATTTTCTATATTAGGGTCAAAAACCCCACTTTGGCAATTTTCGCCCCGGATACGGCACGTCAGACAACAAATTTCTGAAGTATCACATAAAAATACATAAGAAACAAGTAGTTTCAATTTGTTCACTGGTAAAAACATTTTTGTGTCCTAGCTTACTACCTAAATGCTTTTATTTTTATTACAGTATGGCAGGACACCTCTACATATTGCAGTTGAACGACAACTTCACCATAACGTACAGTGTCTCATTGAGTTCGGAGCACATGTCAACATACAAGATGCGGTGGTAGGAACTCTTTAAATTACTTATTTCAATACACTCCCCTCAATAAGTTTGGCAAACTGAGGTTTTCATTGGATATGATATCAAAGCCTGTCATTTCAATAGTTCGGACTTTTTTGTGATGTTTCTTTTTAAATAGCCAAACACAGCATAATGTTTAAGATGATTCATTTTTGTAGCCAGCCGAAAGATTCTAAGAAATAAGCCCTTGCATAATAACTAACATTCATTTCTTTCGTTTAGTGTAACATTGATATACATGTATGAATAATGTAGATCTAACATTAAACTGAAGATCAATGTCTTGCAGGCTGGCTCTACTCCATTACATGAAGCTGCAAAACATGGTAATGCTAAAATTGCATCTTTACTTATAGCCAACGGGGCAGATGTGACAATTGTAGATAAGGTAGGATCATATTAATGAGTGTTAAGTTAAGACAATACAATAAACATTTGTAGATTTGGTGAACTTTAAGGGTTTTCTTGATGTGATTTTGAAAAGTGATTGTAAGAAAGGAATAAGACATAAAGAATAATGTTAGGCTTGGTGCCAAGAAGGAAATCCTAAAAGCCACCAGACCACATTTTACTTTTACGTAAATATGTTTTTTGTATTTATATGTATTTACCCTTCTCCTTAATTTGATTTTGTTTCTCTAAAATAGAGCGTCACACTCTAGTTGTTAACTTTGTTATTTCTAGCATGGTCAAACTGCCAAAGATATTGCTCTGCAACATGGTGCACTAGAAGAACGCAAGAGACATCTATATGAAGATTTGATTGACCTCATTGATGTTCACTCCACAGACATGCGCCTCCAAGAGGTTTGTTCTATTATCAAATTTATTTAAAGATGTCATTGGCCCAAAGTAGCAGACGTAGCCATTAATCGGGTCGGGTTGAGTTATAACGTATGATGATATAGAATGACGGCACGCCGACCTCTAAACACCGTTCACAAAAAGTTGGAGACTTTGGCAGTGACATGATTATGTACCTAATTATGCAATTAATTAATGTTTGAAAGAGCACACCATTCTCAAGCTATTGTAACATTTGACATCAGAATAAACAAAATTAAAATATAAGATATTAAAATATTTTTTATGATAGTTTATCTTCTTGATTTCTTCAGAATTTCAGTTGCTTAACCTTACATTTCACAATTTCAGCAAGAACGGTTACGGGAAGTATTTTATGCTGCTTGCAAAATTATTCCTGATGATGGATGGGATGCCCTTGCTGAAGATCTATTTAACAAAAAAGATGTCGCTGACTCTACTGTCTATAATGTACAAAGCCAGCATCCCCACCCAGAGGGTCTCCCATCACTTTCGTATCACACTCTGTGTGCCTGGATTGAGGAATGTCCTCTGATAGCGACGTTTTGGGTGCTCATTAGATCTCTAAGAGATACCAACTTAAATGACGTAGCAGGTAAGCATTTCTTTTAATCGATTTGATACAACTAATTAGCTGTCGACTTGACCATACAAGAAAGCATTTATCAATCTTTCCGACAGATTTGTATTTTTATTTTTAATTTGATATGTTCTCTTAGACAAACCGATAATTGCAATTAGCTGCCACAAGATATGTGTGATATATTATATGATATGATGTATGCCATTTCAGTTGTGCATTAAACTATTGAAATTACTGTTTTCATATTGTTTCCTTTCAGATGAGCTTGTATCTTCTTTTGCATGAATCTTCTTGAGCCAGGGAAGAATTTTGAAAATTTATGAGATGTATGTGGTAAATCAATGGAACAACAGCGCAATTATAAGATTATGAGCTGGAACACATTGGCACAGGAAGTCCACGAGGCAATAAATGAAGAGTTATAGACAAACATGATAGAGTCTGCCATTTGTAAAGACGTTAACGGATGTTTCGTCTTTCCCATAAGACGCTGTTTATCAGAAAAATATCAGTTGCCTTGTTTAATCTGGCTCTGTAGTTAATCTAGTTGACATCGAAATGGATTGTTTATTTAACACCATTTTTGAAATGTGGACTGAAGTTACGGTCATGGATAGGGCAATAGGATTTACCAACGCTTTGAACAGGTTTAAATATCTTTCAAATGTGTAATAAAGTGTATATAAATGATGCAATCTACAATAAAATAAAGATTTGAAAACAAAAATACATTATATACAGTATACTGTCGACTCGGTGTTTTTGTATTTTATTTTGCTTTTATTGCTGCTAAAAATAAAAAATCCAAAAGGACACTATAGAAGCTTGCCTTACTAATGTTGAGTTCTATTACACATTTAATGCTCGGATAGAACAAACGATTTTAGGAATTCCGATTTAACCCGATTGGAATGTCAGCCGATGTCAAAAATATTTTTATCTCGATTATCGACACCTTTTCAAGTGCGCTCTCTAAAATTGGTTGGTACGTTCGATCACGAGACTCAGGAAGTTTGAACAGCATGCACTTACAATCTGTTGTATCGCTCGATTCGATTGTTATGTGGTCAGTATGAAGAGATTTAACCCAATTACTAATTATAGAATTTAGATGTCTATTTATAGAAATACGAAAATAATTTTTGATAATATGACAATAATTCAATAGTTCAGTCATACATTTTCATTCACACATTTGAAGGGTTATTGTGATAATATTCTAATTGTAGTTTTAGTTATTGAAGTTGTATCCATATTTGGATGGTTTACTTCTCGTATTCCATTGAAAATCTCAGTGTCAAAAATTAAATAAAAATAAGTTTTTAAAGGGCGTATTTTTGTATGACCGCGGTGCAAGGGAATTTGATACGGATGCATAATATTTGTTTGTTTTTTACACAGCAGTATTTCGCACATATAAACACAATCTAGCTAATTTTTAGGATTGAAATAAAGGCATAATGTAATTAATGTTTTACTTTATCATGCTTTAATATATATATAATAAAGAGGCATGCGGAGTTGTAAAGGTTTCCTGTTATTCGAAATAAATTATATAACAACATGTGTTTTATCTTGCAATGTCAGACTTACTGGATTTTCAGAAAATCGTCATCGCAAGGAATTTTGTGAATAGAAATACATTTTCAAAAAGTGACAATTCACGCAACTCGCTGTCTCCTTTACACTCCTATCATATTTCTATTCTAGTTATAGCACACTTTCAAATGTTCATCCGTGGTGGAAAAACATAACAAAATTTGTGTTTAAAATTCGAGAACTTTATTATTTTTGCCCAGTTTCTTGACAAAAATTCAAAATGTCGTAGTGCAGGGTTGTGTGAGAACTTTTAATATCACAACGAAAAGAAATACATATTAACAATATTCAAAAGGTTCAATATTCAATATTCAAAACATTTTCACATATATACGGTATTATTTGAAATTAAAACCTATAATTTGCGGATTCAGTTTTCACAAACTGAGTTCGTCGTTTCTTCGTTTCCTTTTTTGCTGTTTATTTTTCTCATTCATAGTTTCGATTCGTAAATCATGAATTTTTTTCACAAGATACTTTAGAATATTGATTTTCGCATCGTCATTTTTCAAGTCCCACACTGGAAACCACACTTCGTCCGTTTGGCCCCACGACGCCCGGAATCCTCTCTTGCGTCTGGAATAGGACGAACTTGTTAAAATACGATGGGCAAAGATGCATGGTCGGAAGCACCATATGTCCCCAATACAGCAGCTGGCGCGCCCAAATGCCGCAGAGGGCGCTGCACGTCGGTCTCTAGCGAACGAATCACGCAGCAAGGACTCCAATTTGTGCAAAATGTTTTGAGAAAACGGGTTTACTGGTTCAATTTCGTCTCGTGAGTCCGTTCTCTCGATGGATTCATCGGCTTCAGAGCTAAGCTGATAGTCGGAATCACCACTGAAACCAGTGTTGATATTGAGAATTTCTCCAAATGTCGGAGAGTCCGCGGCTTCGCTTGAGTCATGCTGGTTTCTAATGAGATTATGTTCCATTTCAGATCTTTTTTCCGGGTTAATTTTCCTTTTAGTCCTTGAGTGCGCATTCATATAGTGGAATGCATTCAGATCGTTATTTTTAGCGTTTACTCCAGTGCTATGGTCCGCAAGCCCGTGTACCGGTGCGTTTGGTAGTAATTTTCGGATAGACGCACTATGGGCTAGATTAGCCACGCATATTATGAACCAAAAAGTTCTCATCCAATCACGTATAACTCGAAAAAATTCCATTCCTATCCTCAACCAAATATCTTATTTTTTAAGCCCCAACGATTAGCAATGAATTTCCATTATTCCGAATTTTCTATTTAAAATAAGTCACTCGTGCGGCAGTATCTCAATTCTTCTGATTGTCTCGATGTGGTGAGACGAAACAATCTCAGTATAATAGCATAAGTGACATTCTACCGGCTGATTTATCAGATATTAATAACAATCAATTATAAATCATTAATTGAGCACGGTTGTTAGCCAATCAAAAGTCAGACGGGCTGAGGTGCGCAAATATTCGTATTGTCCTGATATCATTTTGTTAGGACATGAGCTCTGAATGTAATTAGTTGTCGCGTTTGTCATTCGTTTGTCACGCGTTTGTCATTCGAATGTCTCAGTACAATTTTGGGTATTTTTGAAATCCCCCACTTTACCCACTTTGAGTTTTGATTTGATTGAATGAAAGTATGCAAAAATACTCTAGAACTACACTCTACCAGTGAAGAAAATAATTTCGGAAAACTTAGTTATAGTCTCAAGAAAACCTTAAATCATTTCCAAAATTTCATTGGCTTCTGACGGAAAAATTTTATTATTCCAAATAGTGTTAAGTACCCTCTTTCCTGTACAAAAAAATTGCAAAACATATGTTTATAAAGATTGGACAGCAGATTTGAAATCGATTTAAAATGAAATCAACGAGACGCTTTCCACCCCATTGGAAAGAAACATGGGAAAATGTTATTTCTGCTTTTCAGTATGATAAATATTTTTTGATTGGAGTATAGCTTGAACACTCCTCCTACACCAGATCCACAATGACATGACATATACTCACACTCGATCAAAGGAATATGAATAAAAAAGACCATGTCCTCTCGAAAACACTCTACACAAAACACAACTATTGAAGATCACATCACCATGGCAACCACGATTGTTTCTACAGAAACGGAAGTCACTATATTAGCAAATGTAATCTTGAAATTATGCTCTTTAATGAACTATTGTAGCACTCGAAATCAGGTTTATAAGCCCTTCCTGCACTTTCAAGCACGAAACGCTCTCCCCTAGTTGAAGAGACATACAGTGTACTGCCAAATTCCGCGTAATACATACGCTACATATGAAGAGTCTCGCAAGGGCAGAGGGTGGAGTAGGAGAATCATGACACGCGATAACAGCAGTATGCCAGTTATGCAGTTAAGGACGCCTGTCAATTGTTATTATGAAAAATAAGTTGTTATTAAAATGAGTGACAGCTCGACACTTATGGTTATCATGATAATACTACTAAAGTAAGAATAACAACTATTATATCTCACTTACTGAGTTTCAAGGTATTGTTATGCCTTTGCCTTTGGATTCTTCATTTACGGAAAGACAGATATATTTTTAATTTTGGGAGTTAACATGCCAACTGGTCATTATCGTCTTATATATTCATTCAAATGGTGCCTTGAACGCCCATTAGACAAAAAATATTTCATCCGTTCTCATCGGCATTTTTAAAGCGACAGTTTCTAACATGCCAAATAAGGTAATTCATTCAGTTATCTGGATGAGATAAGTTTTCCTAACTCAATTGTTATTACCATGGCGTCATCTTGAAGGATGTCGTGATTTTCACTTCAAATTTTGAATCGCGAGCAAGATAATAGCTCGAATCTTTTGGATTGGTGATTATGAATTCATAACCAGTTTAATGTCAGACAATAACACTATGTAAAATCCTATGATTAATACTTGTGATAACATCTTATATTGATGTTTAATTTGTTGTTTAATCCAATATCACAGAAAGTATCATTCAATATTATAACATCTGATCCGGACTCAAATATCATTAGAGAATGATACCCGATTAAACCAAAATATATTCCAGTTTAACCTGATATAATTTAAGTCAGGATCAGATTAAACAGTATTATACGCATATCATTTTCTATTATAACAGGTTTCAAAGTGGTATAATACAAATTATACATATCATTTTTTGTATAATACAAATTAAACTGGAATATACCGAGACCAAACAGATGATACTGTATTATACGGTTCAGAAATTAATGGCACTTTGTTTTCATAACGTCAGACCTTAATTAAACAAGCTAACGTAAATATTTACATAAGGTAATTCTAGAAGTTTTTTGAAACTCATGTTTGACCATTTGTCTCAGACTGAAATCTGATATTGTTTTTTGGGCAATCGCACCCCCCCCCCCAAGTTTGCTACGCCCCTGTACATGGCTAATAGGGGCACTATTACGCTACGTGCAGAGTCTAGTTATATACTACGAGAAGACGAAACTCTCTTTTAAGAAGTGAAGTCGAACGAATGCAAAGGGTAGGGCACTATAGAAGAGGATCATACAAAAGCACGATCTATTTCACAACGCCTTTAATTTTTGCTCTTCAACTGTTGCCCTTTGTGCATTTAAAAAATAAAATATCTTAATCTAATTTGTTCAACCTTTCTTTTCGCTCAGTTCTGCAATATTATGTCCACATGTTATTTAGGCTTACATGCATGTCATTTGCGGAATAGCTGTAAGACATTATGAGAATGAATATGGGAATTTCCACGTAATATATTGTTCACATGATTATATACACATATCTGCATAACAATCGGAGACAGAAGTCAAAATATTGTCCAATAAAGAATCTAACATTTAGTGATAACAAAAGGATTAATTGCTAGAAAGTTCTCTTTGTCTTAGTCTTTGTTTTCTTAACTGCGGAAGTCTACCAACATCACCTACTGTAGATTACATAAGAGATCATCTAACAGTCTAAAATTGCTTTTAATCGCAAGTTAAAGTATTCCGACCAAAAGTTGTATACAGTACCTGTTATTTGGGGGGGGGCGATGTTACATCACATAACTATAACGTTCATATAAAAATATACAATAAGCATGTCGTATAAAAGCTACAATTATAAATACTCATTTCAAAGTCATTCTGTTCATGGAAGCGTCAAGTTATGAAAAACAATGCTAAACACTAAAATAAACAAATCGACTTGATTACTTTTGAAAACTTCTTGAGAGGTGATGGACAAATGTATTTTTCTAACTCATTAGAACGTCTGTCTGATTGAAATACTATTTTCTAAATACAAACATAAATGAATAAATCTTGGTCAGAAGTCTGAACATTGTCCAACGAAATAATAAGAATCTACATTTAACATTTAATGATTACAAAAGGATTAATTGCTATATAGTCTTTGTCTTAGTCTTTGTTTTTCTAACGGTGGAAGTGTACGTGTACCAACATCACCTTGATTACAGAAGATCTAACAGTCTAACCCCCCTATCACACCAAACTCGTTCTTACCCGTTCTTGCCAGTCCTACGAAAACGTCGTAAAACGGGCTCAATCTGGCTGTGGTCGGGAAATATGTCTGAAATAATTAGCTTCTTCGTTCTTAAACAGTCTTCAATACGTCCTTCTCGTTCGCAGTTCGTTCAGGTCGCACAACGTCGGTGTGCAACGTAGTAGAACGCGTCCCTTAGTCTAGAAAGTCAACATGACCTGTTTACAGAACGTTATGGTCGCCATCGAATTTTGAATCGATTCAAAATTCTAAAATCACATTCCCGTCTGAGAACGATCATAAAGTTCGTAAATAGACCTTAGAAAGTTGCAGCTACGTTCATTCCGTTCGCACACAGTTTTGAAGAACGCAGTGGCAACTTGTTTGGTGTGATAGCTATATTTTTGCTAACTCGTTCATAAGCAGTGTTAAATACGTTCTCAATCAGTTTAAACCCGTTTGCAATTAGTTCTACCTCGTTCTCAACACGTCCTCACACAATTCAACTCGTTGTTAAAACGTCCCTCCTAGGATTGAAGTACGACGGTTCCGTTCGTAGTACGTCCAGCTCGTCGTTAGTACGTTGTCACTCGTTCTAATTGTAGAACGTGACGACCACGAGAACATTTTGAGCATTGTCTAGAGGACCTACCCGTTCGAGTACGTTCGATGAAGTTTGTTAATAGATCCCAAACGGTTCTTAGTAGGTCCAGTCCGTTCGTACACAGTTGAAGCCCGTTTTTGAGAACGTAGTGAGAACTAGTTTGGTGTGATAGTAGGGTAAAATTGCTTTTAATTCCCGGGTTTTAATTACATTGTATGAATAGAGTTTTTTGCCTCTCTTTTCATTTTTAAACCGGTCTCTGTTTCCGTATTTAACAATTTATTGTGATAAATTATTTCAGTTAGTGTCGAAATCAAAACGATTTTCTCCATTATAGTCCCCTCCTCTTGCACTGACTAAATATTAAAATAAGCCAGTCTGATTGCGAATTTACAAATCCTATAAAAGTAGCTTTAAACCGCCTTCTAATCAGAGAAAACAATAAGTTAATTCATCTGATTGCGAAAAAACGAATCAATCTAATTATCTGATCTCCATGCTATTTGATTCGTGCATTATAGCCAATCGGGCAAGGGTGAAATTATTTCATTTGAAAACAGAAATAAATATTATAACCCCTCTAGCATAACTGTTCGGGAGAAATTCATACAAAAATAAGGTACACAACTGATGAGGGATCGCACACAATGCACGCACCTCCTCCTCCTCCTCCTCCTCCTCCGTGTTTGCCCACACACGACCATATTTTATAATTTTTCAAAGGAAAAAGCATTTCCCCCGGGAATATAGGTGTAGCCGTTGCCAGAAGTCGCACAGCTTGGGAGTCAGGGTATCCTGATCCATGTCTCATCGCCTGATTGGTCTGATATTTATAGGGGGCGCAAAAATGATTAAGGGGGGGGGGGTAAACGTGGAAGTTGCCAAAATATCCGTGGGCGTATCCAGGGGGGGGTTGTGATGGGTGCGATCGCACCCCCCCCCCCTTAACAATAAAAATAAAACCCTGAGAAAGAAGAAGAAAGGAGCTTTAAAATGCTGCTCAGGCCACAATCGTACCATCCTGACTGAAAACCGAAATCTTTTTGGCGATCGCACCCCCTCCCCCCTGACTGAAAGCTGGCTACGCCCCTGATATCTGTTTTTGGTCATCAATAAAACTATATTTATATGGTGAGGATTTATGGGTTTTGATAACAATAGGCTTTATATATGTATAATTAATCCAAATTCATGTTGTATCATGTTGGCTATATCGTTTCAAGTGAAGAATTAAGAACTGAAATCGGGGTTGACTTTGTTTGAGCAGC